AAACTCATTATCTCTTTTATTATTTATGTTTATTTATTTTGATTTTTTTTAAATTATTTGATGAAAGAATTAAAAAAAATATTTAAACAACTTATCATATTACATATGTTTTTTTAATAAAAATTATTTCAAGCAACTAATAATTTATTTAAATATCTGAATAAATATTTTTTATTGAAAATACTCAAAGTTTCCTCGTATATTATGTTTTATTTTGAATTTTCTTTTCTTACTTTGAAAGTAATTATTTTGGCTTTTGATAAACATACATGATTTGCAAAATGTAACCACAAATTGAGACTTACAAGATCAATAAAGTATTTGAAATTGATATACTAGTTATAACATATTATCTGACATCAAATATAAAAAAAATTTAGCAGATTAAAGATATAAAATTATTTATTCTTTATATATATATATTAATAATGAAATAAAGATAGTTAAAATGTATTTATATTTAAAATAAAAAATACGATTACTTTTTATTTATAATTAAAAACGGAGGAGTTTTTTTTACTTAAAAATAAATTTATTTCATAAGACAAATCAAAGTATAGATGATGGAAGATGAAATATGAAAGATGTAATTCTCACCATGATTCGTTAAGCTTAAAAACAGTACTTACTTTCTCATGTCCTGACACATAAACATAGCGACAAAACACAAAAGAATATATAAAAGGTTAATCAGTTAATGTACTATATATAAGTTAGTAAATTTATATATATATATATATATATATATATATATATATATATATATATATATATATATATATAGATTCGTTTAGGTTTCTGAGCAATTAATGAGGTTCAGAGAAGACTCTGTAGCTCAAAGCCAACTCTGTTCCCATGCATGCATTTGCTTGTCTTCTCTCACCCTGTGTTTGTTTGAACTGATTTATTGTTCACGCGGACAGAAGTGCGAGGATGACACACGTTTGGTTGAATCGATTTGCGACGAAATGCGACGAAATGAAAGCGAGGAAAAGCGGGAGAGAGGAGAAATGGGTTCTTCGCTGATGCACGAAGAAATGAGATGAAAGCTGACTGGACAAATTAAAATGTCCAACTTACCCTCACTCTGCAAGAGTGCATGACTATCTCATTAGATAGCGGTTAAAAAGAAAACCGCTATCTCAAATACGTCTTAGATAGCGGTTAAAAAGACAACCGCTATCTCAAATACATCTTAGATAGCGGTTAAACACACAACCGCTATCTAATCCTAATTTCGAATATAATTGCACTTCTTCTTAACCGCGATGGTTGTATATGATAGCGGTTAAATCTTAACCGCTATTATAATATCACTTCTAATAGCGGTTAAAACATAACCGCTATTATATATTTCCAGATATGTTCGCTCATATGAAAATGTAGTCGATCATAATCGAAAAATGTGAATGTCGCTCGAGCGAGTTCAGTTTCGCTCAAGCGAAAAAGGACCCCAGAATGAAAATTATGTGCAGGTGTCTTCGCTCGAGCGAGTTTAATGTCGCTCGAGCGAGTTTAATGTCGCTCAAGCGAAATACAACTTATAATAGCGGTTAAACCATAACTGCTATCTAATATATGCTTTAAATAGCGGTTACAGAGGAACCGCTATGATATCTTCCAATTATGATCGATCATTTGAAATTATGATCGATCAGGATGGTATTTCGCTCGAGCGAGGGTATAATCGCTCAGCGAAATACAACCCGAGACTGAATCTTAAAATATTTTTTTCAATATTATGTTTTTTAATATGTTATTAGAGAAAACCTTTCAGAATTCAAAATGTTAAATTATATTTTAGAATATATATATATATATATATATATATATATATAATTTTCTATCAAAATTATATATTCTCAAATATAATTTATTTTCATTTCTATAATATATATATATAAATTTTAGTTATATTGTGGAATATATATTTTATATTACGAGTAATTAATATAAATTATATTTTAGAATATGTATATATATATATATATATATATATATATATATATACATTAAAATAAATTCAAATTCTGGAGCCTTTAGATAGCGGTTATTGTGGAACCGCTATCATATGTCAACATATGATAGCGGTTCGAGGTGAACCGCTATGTTAAGTGTCCAGGTTTTGGAAAAGTGATCGATCATTTTGGCAAAATAATCGATCATTTGAGAACTTTAGATAGCGGTTAACATATAACCGCTATCTTATATATATTTGTAATAGCGATTATTACTGGAACCGTTATCTAAAATCTTGATCATTTGACAAATTATATATTCTAAACACGACAGAAGGAGGTAAGTCATGACCAGAAGTCACGGGCTGTACATGCAGTGGTCACGGGCTATACATGCGAGTGGTCACGGGCTGCATGCGACCAACTTCACGTGTTCACGAGTGATAGAAGTTACATGACTTATTCTTTCTTCTCTTGTTACAGTAGATAGGGAAAGTTATTGTATTATATAAAGCAAAGCTAGTCTCATTAGACTAGCTAAAAGACTCTAGCAAAGCAAAGCAAAGCTACTCTGTTGTAGGTTGGATCTTCGCCGGCGGCCATTAACTTCGGTGTGACCTTGGTTGGTACGTTTGTTTTTGGTATATTGTCGGAGGAACACCCCAGGTATGGTTCTGTGTCTTCTCTGTCGTGGTTGGAACATAAAACTTGGTTGGTACGTTTGTTTTTGGAGTCTGTCTGCATGCATAAGAGTGTGTGTCACCATTCACATTTGAGGTATAAAACATTAATTAATTAGATTCCAGGTTAACCGCTATCTAAAGTCTCGAGTATATAAAAATGTGATCGATCATTTTGGCAAAGTAATCGATTAGATTTTCAAATACTCGAGACTTTAGATAGCGGTTAACCTGGAACCGCTATCATATGTTCACCTCTGATAGCGGTTCCAGGTTAACCGCTATCTAAAGTCTCGAGTATTTAACATTCTAATCGATCATTTTGGCAAAATAATCGATCAGAATTTCAAATACTCTCGACTTTAGATAGCGGTTAACCTGGAACCGCTATCAGAGGTGCACATATGATAGCGGTTCCAGGTTAACCGCTATCTAAAGTCGATCATTTGAAAATTTATATCTTCTAAAATATAATTTACTTTCATTTCATAATTATTTGTTATTATCGATCGATATTAATTATTATTTTATATTTTATAATTATTTAATTATTAGTCAAATAATTTAATTAATATGTGAAAATTATTTGAATATGGATATGCAATGTACATAATTTTGTAATTGTTAAATTATATAATTTTTAATAACTATTTAAAAAAAGTTAATTTTTTAAATTTGTTTCCAATTACAAATACTTATAAATTTGTTTTTTCTTTTAAATATATAATCAATGTTAAAATATGGATAATTAATTAAAAAATTATATTTATAATCATTTGAACCTTATTTTATACAAAGGGTAAAATGGTAATTTTCTTATATAATCAACATAAAATTATAATTTTTATATCCATGTCATAATCATTACGATTTATACTTTCGCCACTTTATTCATCAAACACTTTAATTTTACCCGTTTATCATCATAACTCCTCCGTTTCATCTCAAATCATCCAAACAAGAGTCAGTGATTCCATTTATGTGAATATGAAATTAAACATTATCATTAATTAAACCATGGACGTAGACTCACTTCGTAATCCTTTTTATATTTTACTGAATATTATAGTACCGTTTGGTGTATATGTTTTTCATTACAGAGAATATATATATATATATATATATATATATATATATATATATATATATATATATATATATATATATATATATATATACTCAAATCAAAACAAGTCAAGCATCTTGGAACTCTACCTGGTCACTGTCCATCATCTCTTTGTCTATTCTTTAAGCATATCAACTTTTTATCCTGAAAAAAAAAATCACGGATAATATGCACGTCTTGTCTAGGACACCAGCCACATTATGCATCTCTCCTTCACTCCTCATCTCTTTGCTCTTTATTCTTTAAGCATATCAACTTTTTATCCTGAAAAAAAAAAAATCACGGATAATATGCACATGTCCTTGTCTAGGACACCAAGCCACATTATGTTCATTACTCAAAGCAAAATGGAAAAACAAATAAATTAATTCTTACTGGCTTCTCTTATAGATAATATGATTATTAATGTATTATAGATAGTAAATTTTTTATTTAAAGAAATTAACTTCTTCTATGGTAGGTGAAGTTGTAGTAGGAAGCTATTAGTGGAGGATGAAATTGTACTTGGCAGATTAAGACGTCATCAATTGCATGGAAGAACATGAACGCGTGTCATGGGATGGTTTCCAAGGCACATATTCTGCAGAAAAAGTGACAGAGATGAGATTGGAGAATCATATTTGAATTTATTTATTTCGGAAAATATAAAATTTAATATTTTGGAAAGAGTTCTGCTAAATGCTAATAAAAATTTATTTTTTTGAAAATTATTTTAGAAAGAATTCTCTATATTATATTAAATTAAGATAAATCCTACATGTTGAAGAGATGGAAATAGAGATTAAAAAAAAAAAAAAGAGACAGTTACTGAAGTGTAATTAAATTAAGGATGGCCCCAACAGGGACGGTTTGGTAATATGCTATTATATAACTGGGCGGTTAGGAAGTCAGTCTTCACACTTGTGTTCTTCTTCAACTCCCTTACCTGCAAAGACACCTCCAAAGAGAGAGAGAGTACACAACTACACAAAGCAAAGCATAGAGTGGCATAGGATAAAGAAAGGAACAAAGTAGAATCGGAAAACCAAAACAGAGTACCTCTCTGTTCTCATTCTTTCTCTCTCTTCCTCCTCTGCCTTGCACATACCTTCTTCTCTCCCAAGGTGCCCAGTTCAAACTTTTCTTACTTTCCTGAACCTTTGGCTGCCTCTTGCAATTTGGTTTGTGGGTTTTTTAACATGGCTTTTGCCTGCTGAGTGTCAAGTTGGAAGATTGTTTTCGAGAGTATATAAAACAATGACTTGGAAAAGCAGGGGAGACCTGCTTCCCAAAAGTGTCATGTCTCAGAAATGGGTGATTTTTCTCTGTATTGGAAGCTTCTGTGCTGGGATGGTTTTCACGAATAGGTATATCAATTCTCTGTTTTTCTCTTTCTCCTTATTTGATTGATGGTGAATTGAAGAGCTTACGAGATTCTGTTTAATCCTGTTCATCTTATATCTCCTGTTTTCAGATCTTTATTGTAAACATCAAAATTCAGCTAGTTTTGAAGTGCTTGTGTAATTCATTGAATTCAGTTTTTTAGTCAACTCTACCTTTCTCACCATACTTAAGTTTATAATAACTCAAAGAAGAAGTGGAGTGGATCTGAATTGGATTATCATGAATGAATGATCCTTTCCACTTCAATTTTCGGTTGAAATTTCCATTTCTTATTTAATAATGATTGACTCCTAAATTCTAATGAGATGTCAATCTCTCACATAATACTCTACCTCAGCCCAATATCTTTCAATTTAGTCCAAGTTCAGTTTTCACCGTTGATGTTTGCTATCCTATTAACAAGTTTACTTCAATAATTTTTTCTTTCTGGATTAAAAGAAGTCACTGTTTTATCTCAGTTACAGCACACATCATTGCTTGTCATATCATTCTCACTAATCAATGGCGAAGAAGACCCCTGACATGTAATAATTGAATGACACTTAGTCTTTCCTATGGTAGTTGCAACTGAAGCATTTATTTTTATATTTACAAGTTGGTGAAACGTTGAATGATCGATCTTTCATTTTAGGATCTGCCATGTTGTTAAATAGCGATAGTCCAACATATTTGTGGGTGCTTCAGTTTTTTTAATTGCCTCTACTTCTGTCCTTGCACATCATAGTAGACTCAGGAAGGATCCATGTGAAAGCGTGGCCACTAAAGAAATTGAATTCAACGTTCATAGTTTCTACATAACAACTTGACATATTTGTTTCTTCTCAGGATCTGATTGACTATCATGTATCATGTTTATGTACCTACTGCGGTACTTTGTTACACAGTTATTGTGGTGCTTTACTCATAGGAAAACTAAATGTCTTGCAGGATGTGGACTATTCCTGAACCTAAAGGACTTGGACGGACAACAGCTATGGAAGCGGAAAAATTGAATGTAGTTTCAGAGGGCTGTAATTCAAGAATTGTAAGCATAGTTACATTTTTTCCCCTGCTTGATTAGTTTTAATAATTGCGTGGTAGTTATCAAAGGTCTTATAACTTGAATTTAATGTTTCGGGTATGATGTAAATCATATGAAATTTCTATGTTTGTGTGCTTGTCTCCCTTAGTTGCAAGAGAAGGAAGTGAAGCGTGAAACTAAGGGCATCTATAGAGAGGTTTTCAAGACACAAAATGCCATACAGTAAGTAATACTTTTCATACCATTGGCAGTATCTTATTTTATTTTACTTTATTGTTGTTTTTATGCTAAACATGTGTAACTGCCTGGAATGTAGAACCCTGGACAAGACTATTTCAAATTTGGAGATGGAATTAGCAGCTGCAAAGGCAGCTCAGGAGTCTATACGAAGTGGTGCTCCAGTACCTGAAGATATCAAGATGAGTGAATCATCTGGTAGGAGAAGGTATCTAATGGTCGTAGGAATCAATACTGCTTTCAGCAGCAGAAAAAGAAGAGACTCAGTTCGTGAGACATGGATGCCTCAAGGTTCATAATTGCATGATCTTCCATCCCTGCTTCCCCTAGTTATTTTTTGTTGATAATTTTTCTTTTCCACTTTATTGGCAGTAGTTTCTTATATAGTGTTCTTGTGATAACATGGTAAATAGGTGAGAAAAGAAAGAAGCTAGAGGAAGAGAAGGGCATTATCATTCGATTTGTAATTGGTCATAGGTAAGCTATCTCAGCTCTCTTTCAACAATTCTATTGCATAAATGCCAACTCTCTTGTTTTTATTTTAATCTCAATTTGGAAATGCCATCATTCTTTTTGTCTTTATGCATCCAATTTGTATCATATATTATTTGGTACAAATACCGTGTGGTTCATCTGTTAGTCATATTAATATTGAATTAATTGTAACTTGAACCTTTTTGTTTTTCCTTTCTTTCACCAGTGCCACATCAGGGGGTATCCTAGACAGAGCTATTGAAGCAGAAGATAAGAAGCATGGAGATTTTCTGAGACTGGTAATGGTCCTCTTTGTCTTATTGCGGTTTTGCCCTCATCTCCCTTCATTAATTTTGTCTCTACTTGAATAATCACTTGGGAAAATAGCATGATCTCATTTATTTAAAGGAAAAATTCAAAGAAATGAACCATTTTTCAATTCTGAGTGCTTTGATTCTGCAGGATCATGTTGAAGGATACCTTGAATTATCAGCAAAGACAAAGATCTACTTTGCCACTGCTGTTAACTTATGGGATGCTGACTTCTATATCAAAGTTGATGACGATGTTCATGTAAACATAGGTATTTAAACTTTGTCAAATTCTAATACTCTAACCTTGCATGAGGAGTTTGTGATTAAAGTTGTTGTTCCTCATGAGTTCTTGTTCCATACAAGTATGCATCATGTGTTTTGTATCACAACAATTTTCTTACTATGTCATATTCATCCTTTTTCAGCAACACTGGGACAAACTCTAGTGAGACACCGATCAAAACCACGGGTGTACATTGGATGCATGAAATCAGGGCCTGTTCTTTCTCAAAAGTGAGGATCATTTTCTTTTACCCTTCTACATTCTAATGAAAGGGTTGTAAATAGGTACAACTTTCACTTCTTTCTTCTTACTTGCCCACTTTCTGGCAGAGGGGTAAGGTATCATGAGCCAGAATACTGGAAATTTGGAGAGGCTGGAAACAAGTACTTCCGTCATGCCACGGGACAGTTGTATGCCATTTCGAAGGATCTGGCCGCATACATTTCAAATAACAAGTGAGTGCTTCATCTCACTTATGTGGGGAAAAGCAATAAAAATCAAATTTATGGACTAAAATGGGGATGATGCAAAAATTGTGACCCACAAGCCACATGATGGCTTATATGTGTCTGTCTTTGTCTCAGGCACGTTCTCCACAAGTATGCCAATGAGGATGTCTCCCTGGGCTCTTGGTTTATTGGACTTGATGTGGACCACATAGATGATCGAAGACTCTGCTGTGGTACACCACCAGGTGAAGATTTTTCCTACAATTCATGTATAATATTGACATATATAACTGAATCATTGGCATCATCAAATCATCACTCATTTGGGTTGTTTATTGATTAATTAGTAATGGTCTACATTTTCATGTTCATCGACAGATTGTGAATGGAAAGCACAGGCAGGCAATGTTTGTGTTGCTTCATTTGATTGGACTTGCAGTGGAATTTGCAGGTCAGCTGAAAGGATCAAGGAGGTCCACAAGAAATGTGGAGAAGGTGAGAAAGCTTTGTGGAGTGCCTCTTTCTAGTGGCATGGCAGCTAGGAGTTCCTCCTAACTCAGAGGAAACAACCACAGCAATGACACTAGGCTGCAAGAATTTTCTTTTTCTTTTTGCATAGTTTTGGGAAAGTATAGAGATTTTTCAGTTTACTATAGAGAGCAGGAGAGGGAAAGAAAGGGGAGGATAAATAACCAAAGAAAAAAGGACTTGAAGGGGGAAGCATTGGTTAGTCCACCCCACCAATTCTTTGATGCTTGACAGGGCACACTGTTTAATAGTTCCATACCTATCAAGCTCCTAATAAATGTAGATATAGATTTGGTTGGATATTATTGCTGTTTTTTTTTTCTTTCAATTTCTTTTTTGAAACCTCAAATGTAATTCCATAAGAGCAAATTCACAAAACCTAAGGTGACTGACCATTTTTTTGTTGTCCTATTAATTACTATGCAATAAACTCCAAACACAAAATACATTAAATTAAATGGTCCCCAATTGCCACACCAAGGTATTATAAATAATAAAGCCTTTATTATAAAGGGAAAGACCCAAACCTTTAAAGTTCAAACTTGGCCTTTGCCAATTCAAACCTTTGAATTTCCATGAATACCTAAAGACTTTGTACCTTATATTGTCTAAATTGATTGTACTACTTTTTCCTAAATGAATATTTTATTATAAATTACACATTTAAATTGCTTAAAAAAGAAGTTTAATTAAAACTCTAAGAAAATTTTAAACAATTCATAAGATTTATAATAAAATATTTATTTTTATTTATAAATAACTCATGTTAAGGAGATTCTCTAGGGTTGAAAACAACTAAAAAGTCTTTCTTTATTGGGGTCAACGATTTAGAAAAGTCCAAAGAGAGAAAACTACAAAGTTAGGGTTTTTTAGCCCTCTACTCTCTCACCAAGAAGGTGGGCTCAACTACCCTACCAAAAGGACAAGGTACAATTAGTAAGGAAGTGCTATTAATTAATTGATTAAACAACAACCCTAGACGTAAAGAAAGGGGTACAGAAAATGTGGTTGAAGACTTGAAGTTGCAACTATCATTTTCCTTCGATTACCATTTTCTTAGGAAGAAGGTAAAAGGAGCCTGCTCTGCACCAACTGTGCCAACAAGTCACGTATGGTAAAAAGAAAATTGATGCCGTTTTCATTGATGTTATTTTGGTACAATTTCACTGCAGCAAGTACATAACACATGTGCAGAACCTAATATTTTATTACTAAAAAAATGCTCCTAAAAGATTCCTTAACACTTTGAGCATGTGTCCCACAAACTCAAAACAATGTTTTGGAAAGGAGATTAGAAGACAAAAAGGGAAAAAACTATAATCATGGCTTATAATGGCATGTGCATTTCTGAAAGGGGATAACAACGAAGCAATGGAAAATAATTAAAAAAAAAGTTTTTTTCCCCTTTTTTTTCACTCATAAGGGATTCATTCTATTGACTTAATCATATGAACTAATAAAGACGAACTACTTTAATTAGGGTTAAATTTTTTTACCAACAGTTATAAAGGAAACGACTATCTAATTTAATAAATGTTAGTATTTATAAACATTAGATCATCATGCTTTTGTAAAAATAATTTAACTAAAGGGAGTTTGAAGTGTAATAATTTATTTTTCAATTTTATCTTAAAAGTAATTTTGTAATAACATTGGATATAGAAAAATTATAATTTTTGAAGTTACTCAATTCAGTTAGGTTGGATTATTAAATAATAATAAAAAAGTAAATTCAACCTAACCCAATTATAAATTTAATTTGGTTTCGATAACGAATTAAAAAAAACATATATATTTACTATTTATTTTCTTCATATATATATTTCTGTAATTTTCAAGCTAAGATTTTAGAGAGACTTGAATACACATATTGGAACTCCTTGAAAAAACAACCAATTTGATAATGTTTTTCGAAATTTATGACTCTTAACATAATCATATATTTTTGATATTATAAAAACATTAGGGCTTGTAATATGAATCAACAGCGACATGAAAGAGAACTAACAGTAAATATTATGTTAAAAGATAAAAAAAACTGTAATATATTTTATCAATTGTTTTAACATTTAAATTCTATTTGTTAGTCTTAAGGTTAAAAGAGTACGAGAATGTGAAAAAAAAAAAAAAAAAAAAAACTTGAACAAATTATCTTGACGATGCATCTTGAAGTATGTTCAGACATGCAGAATCTAACTCCGAGGAAACTAAGTGATGTGAAGTGCCAAATTAGGTTAATTCCAGGTAAAAGGTCATGCCATGTAATTTTTGTTCCTTTATCCACAGTGTTTGGTACGTAGTTTTGCTCAAAATTAAGGTGAACATTCAAATTCATCTATTGAATTTTCACTCATTTTGAAACAATCTTACACCTACAGTTTAAATGATTCGTTGTAGATATAAAACATTCAATTATCACAAAATAAATTCAATTTTCGTACTAACTTTTGTAAAAATATTTTATAAAATTATATTAAATAAAGGTTTTCCAAATCTATTGTGAGGGTTAAACTTATGTTGAGATTTGTGTTTTTTTTTACTTAATGATGTCCCTACCCCACACACTATTGACTTACTTATTCACTTCTTCACCTACCATACATAATTCAAATTTCAAAATAAACATGGACATTGGAAAATTATTGTTCCTGTTCTCGTAAAAATTGTGAAAAACACAGGTAGGGGTCACTATATCAATTAAATAAATAAACAAACTATATGTGCATCTATGGATTATTTCTTGCTGTAAATGACTTTTCCTTTTCTGTCTTTCCAAGGATATGAAAATAACATCACATCTTTGAAAACGGTTCTGTTTTTTTATTGTTCTCAAATCTTCCTCCTTCCATTCATACTTGAAGGATGATATATGCATACACTTTTTAACCATCAAATATTCTATCAGTTTATTTTTTTTCCCTCTCTTTCTTCGCTTCATATTACTTATCAAATCATGCTCTCCAAGTGTTAAATAACATTTGGTTTTCATGAATATTTTTCTATGTATCTATCACTTCATTTCACACGTAAAAAACTGATAAACACATTTCTGATGCATATATAAAATGAAATATGATCAATATTTAGAAAAACAGGGAGGAAGTAAACCTAAGAAAAACAAACAAAAAGAGTTAAAGGAAAGAGAGAGAGAAACAATGCTTTAAGAACTGCCCAAGCCGTGTTCTACTCTGCAGTCTATATCAAACTTCAATACAATCAATAGGCACAATGTGATGTATGAGAAGTAACAAATGTCTGATACAGAGAACTTGCATAGTAACCTTGTCATGACTAATCTTCCACATGCTTCAGTACCATCTCTTAGATTTATAGCTTGTAGGCACCTGATTATATTCATCACAACTCAAACAATATAATTGAGAGAATGCAAGACGCTCTCATGTACAAAGAAAGTGTAAAGGAAAATAAAAAACAAAACAAGAACAGCAACAAGTATTTATATATAATATGCACATCTTTTTATAAAATTAAAGAATAACACCAAACGGGACAGGTTGATCCACTTGAATAATGATAGTATTTATGTAGCAAGGACATGAGTTTTAATCTTTTTGCGGAAGTAAAAACCTAGTTAGCTGATAATTTGTAAGTAAAGCTATGAGTGTCTTTAGAATCGTGAGACCATTTCTGGTCTTGAAAACGTGTGAGATTTTAACTGATTTAAAATTTAGTTCAAATCAAGAAAAAAACAAAGCAAGAACCATAAATATATACATATATATACCTCCAAACTTTGGATGAGAAGAGAGAAGGGTTGTTCAGGGGTTTTAGGAGCAGTGGCACGTGATATTGGCACGGCTCAATCGAAAAGCAGGGCCTGAGACATTTTGAGCATTGCTTTCTCATTGAACCGGACCAATATCCCGTTAAACCGGTCCACTCTTACCCTCCTCACTCGCAATGCACCCTATCTGGTGTAAGATCATCAGAGAGAGAGACATGCATGTATAACCAACAGAGATATACGTATGAAAACAAAGCGAAGTCGAAACTGTCAAACGATGTAAAAAACAAAGCAAAAGGGCCCTTCATGTTATCTTAGTTAGAATGGGAATACAACCATTCATGTATAAAAGCCCTAAATTTAAATGAAAAAGAAGAAGAGGGTGAGGAAGGGAGTGAAAGTGATATGGAGAAAAAGATGAAGATATATTGGGGTGGAAAAGCAAAAGACATAAGAGAGGGAGAGAGAGAGAGAGAGAGAGAGGGATATAATACGTTGAAGTAGTAGTATTAAAGAAGGAAGAGGGGAAGACGAGAGGAGAGAGTGGGAAATGGAGATGGCTGGTAGTGGTAACATTGAAGAAGTTGCATTAAATTTGCAACAACCTTTCAACTGAGGAGGTTGGAATATTAATTTAAGGAGGTACAGGAATGGTGACAAAAGGCAGAGGAGACAAATCTGTGGCTTTTAATGTGAGCATTTATGGATTATGGGGGCAGAGGGAGAGGGATGTTGGTGTCCTGTTCAATCTGCATTAATGCATGTGTATGTGTGCATGAAACAGTAAAAAATAAGATTTGCCTTTTGGTTTTGGCCTCTTCTAGTGCTACTCCTATCCATCACCTCCACCTCTCGTTAGGTACTTCGTAGGTACAGTGATTCCTCTTCTTATCTCATGCAATATGCAACTCTTGTATCTGCATGAGCATGGTTTCTTTTTCCTCACATGCACACTGTTAGGTTAGGTGCTTCCAGTTCTATTATCTCCAAATATCAGGATGCTTTTCTTAACATGTGAGAACTCAAGGTGCCTCTTAATTTATTCCTAACACATCAACCAACACTTGTCATGGTTACGTAATTGTATAAATATCACTGTTTACGCACAAAATTATGTGCATACTTTTTCTGGATAAATTAATTTTTAATTCTAAAAATAGTTCTATTATTGCCCAACAAAACAGAGAAGTGTGTGTCTAAATATCGATTTTGCCTATTCATGGTTATTAAATAGGTGGGACCGTGCGCTAGGAATATTCTAGAACAATCCCGGGTTTGGTCAATTTTTTTGGTTGAGTTATGTTATAATGTAGTTTAGATCATTCTAGAATAAATTATGTTTTATCAGTTCTATCAATGATATAAAGAGATAAATCAGTCTCCTTTTTACTTATTAAAAAAATGTTTTTAATTATAATAGGAGGTAAAATAATATATTAGTAATGAATAATAAATAAATATAAAAAATAAAAAATATGAAAAATAAAAGATTAAATTTATAAATATATAAATATATATATTTAATAATTATTAAATTTGGTACCAAAATTATAAATATTAATAAAAATTACAAAATTTAAAAAATAAAATTATAAATATTAATTTAAGTTATAAAATTTTAAATACTACCATCTCTCTTATGTCTCAAAGTTTCGCCACTATGATTCGAAAGATTTGAAATATTTGATATCACATTCTTTGTTAAGTAGCGTGTTGATGATAATCTTCTGCAAATTAAATTGATCATCATCATTACTTATATTCAGACTTTCATTGTAGTTTACCAATTAACACTACTCACACAGTGAAGATCAAGAAAAAACACAACCAAAATAGATTTTATGTAGGTATAATAGAAAGATGATTAGTAGGGCAAGTTCTAATAAATTTTCCTGGTTATATGCATATTGACACTATATATTGTTACAACCAAAAGGAAAAAAACCAGGGTGCAATTAAAACAAAACTACAATCACAAACACTTGGTTCCACCCTTCCTTTCATACACCCCTAATCAGGAATATTGTTATGGCAACTCAACAAATACTAAAATAGACCTTTAAGCTTGATAAGCATGTGACATGAGCAATGGTAGGCACTACATGTGAGAACGACAACACCACACCACACCATTAAATGGTGCTGCAAACTACCATGCACACAGCACGTGAAAGTGAAGAAGGAAGGGCTATTCCAACCTTTCAATAATTGATCATGATATAACTACTTTCTGAAATTAACATATTATTTGAGATATTAAGGGACAATAAAATTAACGAGTAAACTGGTTAATTAAGAGTAAAAACAGACTTTGAACTCCTTCATCAAAGAAAAATACACCTTATAGTTACATTATTGTATGTACTAAACCAGCTAACGGAAAATTTATATAAAAACTGATTCTAAATAGTTCATTCTTTCTTGTTACTAAAACGAAGGTTTGTCATTTATTCGTATTCATGCGAGCATAGTAAAATGACTAGGCATCTTCTGAGAATATAAAACCTGCCTCTATATTCTTTCAAGGTGGCAGAAAATCTCCTTCCAAAGCTAGATCGTTGGTGACCTTTCTTAATTGTTGTTGAGATGTACTGAGCCATTTCTTGCCTGAAAAGGGTCCTCAAATTTCACCTCTTTAACTCTTCTAACTAGATTCTATGTTTGTGTTGGTGCTTAGTCTTGCCTGCTTGCGACACTGGGTATGTTCTGCAGGTTTTTATATATAGAGAACTCATTCAGAGACACGTTGGGATTTTTCGAAATAGAGTGAAGCAAGTAAGCCACAGAACTAGAAGGTCCCACAGGTCTACACAGTGACAAAGCAAAGAAAATACAGTGACATAAGTTGTGTTTGGATATTATTTCTGTTGCAAAGGAAATGAATATTTATGATTATTATGAAATAAATTTGAAAAAGTGACGTAACAAGTTTGGAGAGGGAGCGAATGAGTTAAGAAAGAGAAGTGTTATAAGGAGTGTTGCAAAGGCTGGTATGAGGTGTAAGGTGCAGATTTTGGAGGTATGACTAAACAAAAAGTTACCCTACACTTGGCACAGTTGGAGTTGAATTTGGAGAGAAATGATGAATTCTGTGAAGATTTGAATGACAAATTCAGGAGCAGCTTCTTTCACTCTTGCTTCCTATAGCTACCATGATTCGCTCTTTCATGGCCGCACAAATGGCACGTTTCGATCATACCTTGGATAATATCAATTAGAGTCGATAAGCTTTCAGAGAAAATGTATTATATTATTTTCATTTTTTTTTGTTTATTGTTAAAAGGAAAATGTTTTCATGATTTATTATATATATATATATATATATATATATATATATATATATATATATATATATATATATATATATAAACAAATGATAGAAAACAAAACCCTGGACTCATGTGTCAATGATAGGAACGAAATGATCAAACGTGTCAATATAATAATATTTTGATTTTCAGCCATTTATTTTTGGGTTCTCTTTATTTGGACTATTAGTTTGTTTCTTATTAAAATATTTTTTATTTTGTTTTACATCTTCCAAAATAAATGTGAATAGTGTCACAGCACAACTCATCGTCACGAACGAACAAAACAGAAGATCCACTGTAAACCTCATTTTCCTCTTAGCACAAAGAGAACAAAATATTCACTATAAAACTCATCTTTATCTTCAACTTTGGTTATCACCATGCATCTTCTTATCCAGTTGCAACGTTTGTGGGTCAGTTTCAAGTACGAGTCTTTCAGATTTTCCTAAAACCCCTTCTTCTTATGCTGCAAGTTTATAGGTGAGTTTCAAGCATGATTTTGATTTTATTCAGTTTTTGGCCAAATCATTTAATTTTGTTGATCTCCATTATTCCTTTTTCAGTTTCAAACACCTTTATGTTGATAGAAGTTTTTTTTTTACCTGCTGGAACATCTTTAAGAAGAAGAAAAATGGGTTCATTATTCTAATCTGTTTTTCATATGGGATAAAATATTTTTGTGGTTGCTGTATGCAAGAGGACCCAGTTCACTTTAATCATGTGGTTTATATCATTTTATTATTATCTTTTCCATCTTTATTTTGTGTTTGATAAAAGTGGGCACTTTTATCCTGTTTTTTCGTAGAATTATATGACAATATTTTCAATTTAATTTTTTATCATGTTTTATTTTTCATACATTCTATTATTTTATCTATTAGTTTAAAGATATATGTTTTTAATGCAATGGTCAAATTGAAAGGAACTGTGTTATGCAAAATAATCCCATTTAAATCAATAATAGTAAATAAGACAACTATTTTGAGATTAAACACATGAAGTTAGTTTTATAGTATGGCATCTTTTAATAAGAATTGTACCTAAAAATTATGTAAATAGAAGTTTATCACCTCACTTTATTTATTGAACCTATAATAAGATAAATTTGAACCTCAATTAAAGCATAATTCATGACTAAAAAAACATTGTATACAAGCTACTAACAAGCAAAAACATGAGATGTCTCAAATCTCATGATCAAAAGAGAGGATTCTTTATTTATTTTCATTTGAATTTCACATTCACTACTACAAAATATGTTTTCAATGTTGTCATTTAATATCAGTTAAAGTTGAGCCGACGCTGAATGTGTTTTCACCCAAAAATTCTCTTAAGGTAAAAAATTATCACTGATAAGATTTGAACCCAATATTTTAGAATTGAAAACTAATATTCCAACCACTAAACTACCGTAATTTTCTCGATAATAACTTACAAATTAATTATATTTGTATACAAATAAATATATATCCGTGTAAATATATATTTATTTATATATATTTTTTGGAAAGTGTTTTTATTTTTTTCAGCCAAAAATTTACTTAAGTTAGAGAATTGTCACCGACAGATGATTTGAACTCAATATTTTAGAGTTTAAAGTTGATACTCCAACCACTAAACTACTCGTAATTTTCCGATAATAACTTATAAATAAATTATATTTATATACAAATAAATATATACCCGTATAAATATATAAATATAGAATATATAAATACAAATATATTTATATATTTTGATATATTTATATATATTTATATAGTTATATATTTATATGTTGGACGTGAGGACGCGTTCGAGGGTGAAAGTGAGATTGACTTCGTTTGAGTGAAAATACGTTAAAGCTTACGGAAATTGACTCGCTCAAGCCTCACTTGAGCGAAAATTGGTATTTTTCGCTTGAACGAATGATGTGTTTCCCAAATTTATTTTATATCATTATATAAATAAATTATAAATATTATATTTTGTCATTAAATTACAAACTCATATAAAGAGACCCGCTCACAAATTTGACATCAAATTTTGAAAACCCACTCGACACACACTTTCACCTTCGAGCGTGCTCTTACATCCAACATATAATATATATAATTATATAAATATATCAAAATATATAAATATATTTGTATTTATATATTTACACTGGATATATATTTATTTGTATATAAATATAATTTATTTGTAAGTTACTATAAAAAAATTCGAGTAGTTTAGTGGTTGAAGTATCAGCCTTCAACACCAAGATACTTGGGTTACGAATCCTGTCGATAATAAAAGATTAATTTGGTAATGTTCTAAACTTCAAAAAATATGATAAATAATAAAAATATAATATAAAAGAGAAGGAGAATTTCTAGATAAATAGAGGGGTTGGAAATAAATAAAAATTTTCGAACCAGACTTTCTTGTTTTTATTTGGTAATTAATTCATACCATCTACTTCTTATTTGATTTATATTCGTCTTGTTCTTATTTTTATTGTTGATCTCTACTTATTCTTGAATTTTACTATTAGAATCATTAAAACATTTATACAAATATTAATTTTGTATATGTTAATTTTGTATCTAGTGATGAATGATGAGAATGTTCCCTATTATATATTCTTGCTATTTTAAGCTTTTCAATACTTAAGATTTTATTGTATAATTGTAATTCTATTAAACAAAAGTTGATTGACGAAAAATTTAGAAACATTTAATTTGATTTGGATCATGCAAGAAGGAAAAGTTTTGTGCAGTATCAAAAAAGTCCAAACAATTTTGTATTGAAAAGAATCAAGACATAATTAGTTTGATAATTCACACAATTTGTGTGTTATATTTAATGAATTAGAATAAAATTGTTTTATTTACATTACGAATATAATAAAATATGAATCAAAATTAAAGGGCTGGAATAGCTCAGTTGGTTAGAGCGTGTGGCTGTTAACCACAAGGTCGGAGGTTCAAGCCCTCCTTCTAGCGTTTTCTGTTTTTTCTTTTTTCCTATTTTTTTTCTTTATTTTTTTTTTAAATTTCCTTTTAAAAAGAAAAAACCAAATCCTTCATTTCCTATTTTCTGTTCAATATATGATTGAATTTATGTGAATGAATGATTGGAGTGTAACTGTGTGTGTAGAAGAGAAAAAGATGGAAGGTGTGGTAGAGAGCAGAGAATGGTACTTAGCTGCATATTCCCCTGAGGGCGTTCCAACCTCCGATCATCTCAAACTCCGCACCGTCACACTCTCACTAGCCTCTCATTCAATCCCCGACGACAACGTCTCCCTCCAGATTCTCTTTATCTCCGTCGACCCATACCTCCGCACCAGACTCACCGGCACTCTCGACGGCCTTTTCGTTCAGCAGTATCACCTCAACCACGTATATTCAATTCATTTCTATGGATACATGAATCGTTGTTCAATTTTTCTGTTACGTGCTTAATTCCCTCAAATTTCGCAGGTGATTACAGCGTATGCAGCTGCGAAGGTAATAGGATCTAAAGACAGTAAGTACAGAGAGGGGGATCTGATTTTATCTCCTTCTGTTCCCGTGGCTGAGTACTGTGTCATACCGTCCTCTCGCATACTTCGAAAAATTGACTCTGCTAGTGGAATTTCGTTGCCGGATTATCTAAGTGCCTTAGGTAATTTATTTATTTTATAAGTTGCAATATAGAGGAGGAATATGAAATATTTAAATGTGATGATGCGCGCAGGGGTACCAGGGTTTGCGGCGTGGGTGGGAATAGAGGTTCTGGGAGACCCAAAACCCGGTTCCAATGTCTTCATATCTGCTGCCTCCGGTGGGGTTGGTATGAGTGCTGGCCAGTTGGCTAAGATTCGAGGTTGTAGGGTCATCGGAAGCACTGGTTCTGATGAAAAGGTACTTTAGTTCCCCCCACAATGTGCATCACGATAACCTTGTGACTAGGATGTGAAAATGCGATGGGTAACTTATATGCGGTATGACATGTGGTAAATTTACTTATCCATTTTAAATAAATATTTATATATTAAAATAAAATAAAATAATAATTAAATATTATATATATTTTTATATTATTAAAAAATATAAATATATAATTATATTATAATTTAAAATATAAAATTAATTATTTAAATTTAAATTATAATAATAATTAATTATTTTAAAATATAATATATTAATTTGTTTAATTTATCTAATAAAAATATTAATTAATAAAAACAATTTTAAAAATTATTTATATAATTAAAAAGATATTTAAAAAATATATAAAAAATTTATATAAAAAAAAATCCGCTAAACTGTCTGTCAATCCGTATTTAGTGGAACAGATTAGGATATACAACATATTTTGATTATGATGGTTCAACCTATTCACTTAATTTTTTTATGTATATATTTTAAGAATGAACCACCTGAAATGATTAACAATGCAAGAGCTTTGAGACTTGTTTTTTATTTTAAAAAAAGTATTTTCTGATAGACGACGGATCTTCTCTTTTAATATAACATTTATTCTTTTGTTTGGTCCGCTTTTATTAATTTCTTTTCAAGTGACGGTCAATTTCCACGTCAAAAAAGAAAATTAAAATAAAAGGTATCTTGTACATTTTTCTTTCCTTTTTTATGGTTAATGGTTCCTTTTTAAAGGTTGTTGGTCGTTTTCTTTGAATCTTGTTGATACGAAGTCCTACTTTCCTTCGCAGGCCTATTTGCTTGGCCTGTTATAGTACTCTAACCAAATCGGGCTAGTTAGATGGTCATACTCACTTTTGAATTTGGAACTTTTTGGGCTATATTGCAATAAAAATAATTTTCAAAAAATTAAAACAATGATTTTAGCAAGAGCGATGTTATAAAAACAGTAAGATGATTTAGAAATGATATTTACACAAAAGTTTGTAAAAAGGAAAAATATTTACGAGTCTGTGA